TAAGGCACAGGGCCCTGAAGTAGTGTGTAGTTAGGACATCTGACCCAGAATGGGGGTTGAGGGAGTGGCCAGGGACGGCTGCCCGGAAGAGGTGCCGTCTGGGCCGAAACTCCCAGTGGGATCTCTCCTGGGGCTGGGCATATGGTCAGAGCTCAGTCAGTGCAGGGCAAATGTCTGGAGATGGGAAGTGGGTTGGCGCTTTCCCTGAGCCTCAGGGCAGTAGGGCAGGAAGGGAGGAGAGATGCCCCTCTTCTTGGGAGCACACCCAACCCCAGTGGCCCTAACCTCCAAGCTGCTCCCTAAACGGACCCTGCCTTTGCACCACTGTCCCCCGCCCCCTCCTTGCTTCCTTGCTGCATTTTTTCACTGACAGTGTGCCCTGCTCCCCACCTCAGCATGTCCCCACCCACCCCTTCCCAGGCACCAACAGCCAAGGCATCCTCACTGGCTTCAACAAGACAGTTCTGCGGACGCTGCCACAGAGCCGAAACCTCATTGTGGTGGAGAGTGTGCTCATGGCGGTGGCCTTCCTGGCCATGCTGCTGGTGCGGCTGGGACAGGGGTGGGGCGGAGTCAATGAGGCAGAGCGTGGGTCTGGGGTCCAGGTCGGGGAGAAAGGGTCTAGGCCTGGAGGTGTGGCCTGGGCAAGGTCTGAGTTGGGGAGCCAGGGCTGAGTCCTGGGGTGGGGGCCTGAGGCTCGTAGGCACGGCTGATGGCTTGTGGACGCAGGCTGGAGCGGAAATCCCAGAGTCCAAGGGGAGGGAGGACCGGGTCCGGTCCCCAGCGTCGAGCTGGAGACAGAGTCCAAGAGGATTGGCTGTGACCTGTGAAGGGCCTGGGGACTGGACCCACGGTCATAGACGGGAAGGTGTGGCTCAAACCCAGGGGCGGTAGGACTAGAGCATTGTGGGCGGGCTTGGGGGGGCGTGGTTGAGAGGTAGGGCCTTGGCTGGGGGCGGGGCCGATTGCTTGGCCTGACGCCCGCTCACCCGCCGGCCGGCAGGTGCTCTGTCTGTGCGGAGCCGCGTACCGACCCACGGAGGAGATCGACCTGCGCAGCGTGGGCTGGGGCAACATCTTCCAGCTGCCCTTCAAGCACGTGCGTGACTTCCGTCTGCGCCACCTCGTGCCCTTCTTTATCTACAGCGGCTTCGAGGTGCTCTTCGCCTGCACCGGTCTCGCCCTGGTAAGTACAAGCTGCGCGGGGTTGCCAGATAAAAGAGCATGTCCAGTTAAGTTTGAATTTCAGATAAGCAGCGAGTAAGTTTAAATATGTACAGGTATTCCCGAATATCGCCGTCTCTTTCTCTTCCCTCTCCTGCCCCCATTACTCTACTCCTTTACCTTGGGTGGGTTATTTTAACCTCTCAGACGTTGAAATGGGATAATGCCCATAAACTATGTGGTGCCATGTGGGACAGGGCTCTTGGTGTCTGGGGACATGGCCCAAGCCTTCTCATATTATACCCTTGGAGCCTTTTCATGTGAGCCTCGGAGGGAGTTAGTGCCCTGTGGTTCAGAGAGGGCAGGGCATGGCCTAAAGTCATTCTCACATGGGAAGGGCCAGAGCTTGGGCTATGTGACCTCCAGTGCTCACTCCCTATCCCCTCAGGGCTATGGCGTGTGCTCGGTGGGGCTGGAACGGCTGGCCTACCTCCTCCTGGCTTATAGCCTGGGTGCCTCGTCCGCCTCACTCCTGGGTCTGCTGGGGCTGTGGCTGCCACGCTCAGTGCCACTGGTGGCTGGAGCTGGGCTGCACCTGCTGCTTACCCTCGGCCTCTTTTTCTGGGCCCCCGTGCCTCGGGTCCTGCAACACAGCTGGATCCTCTACGCGGCAGCCACCCTGTGGGGTGTGGGCAGCGCCCTCAACAAGACGGGGCTCAGCTGTGAGTATAGCCATGGGCACTGGGATGGTTGGGCAGGGGGCCTTCTGGCTGCCTCTGAGTGGGGCATAGACATCCCTGGATGGACATAGGGGTCCCGTGGACATACATGGGTCTGCCGTGGGGTCCTGTGGACATAGTAGAGGTAGGTGGAGATTCCTGCAGACACTCCAGGGGTGGAAGGAAGTTCTGTGGACACTGTAGGGACAGATTGGGAGGGTTGTGGACACTCTGGAGGCAGGTATGGGAGGGAGTTCCATGCCATGGATGTTCTGCTGACACTTCAGGGTGGGTACACAGCCCTATGGACCCTGGGCAGTCAGTGTGAGATCTGTGGATACCACATTAGAACTTCGTGATACAACATAGAATATGTGTAAGCTTATCTCACGGTTGGGAAGAGTAGCTCTAGGGAATTAAGTAACTTACCCCAGATCACTTACAGAGCTAGCACTGAATGCACATCTCTGTACCTCTAAACTCCCAATTCTCTCCACCTTATAGTCCTGAGAACTAGAGTCTGAGCCTCCTGACTCCCTTTCTGCCCACCTGGGGAGGATTCTTTGGGAAGCAAGTCTCCCCCACCCCAGGTTTGATTTGTAGAAAGTCGGATGCTGCAAACAGTTGGCCCTCCCCGGCCCTGGGCAAGGAGGAGAAAACAGCCCTGAGTCCTTTGCACTGCATGCTGGGGTCAGGGACAGGACAGAACTAAGCATAGAGCTTTCCTCTTTTGGGGCTGCATGTGACCTAGAGCGAGACTTACCTGCATGCCCACAAGTGGATGCTCACATGCTCCTACCTCTGCTCAGCGTCTGGGCTGTGTGGTGACCAGGTGTCCACTAGGGGGTAGGCCAGGACCACTGTACAGTGCTCCCTGGAAGCTGTGGGGCCCTGGGCTGAGACCAGGGCAGTGCCTAGGAGAGTCACAGACGGGAAATCAGCAGCCCCAGGTAACACCTCTCCACTGTCTGCCCTGTCCCACCTGCCTGCAGCACTCTTAGGAATCCTGTATGAGGACAAGGAAAGGCAGGACTTCATCTTCACCATCTACCACTGGTGGCAGGCCATGGCCATCTTTGCCATGTACCTGGGCTCTAGCCTGCCCATGAAGGTGAGTTTGGGCAGGGTTAGGGCAACCCCCAGGCAACAGATACTTTCTGAGCGCCCACCATGGCTTCACAGTCTTCTAAAGAGCATTATTTCCCAAGGGCCAGGCTGTGGGTCAAGGACGCATTCCCCCAGGCTGTTGGGTGGTCCCCAACCCAGCATCCCACTTGCTGCCTCACTTCTGGCCAGCCTCAGTTTACCCATCTGTGAAGGGATTCACAGTTTGCTCTTTCCTTGTGGGTGCATCCCAGCCGCTCCATAACCTATCCACCAGATGCTGGGCTTGGAGCTGGGTGCCCAGGGCCTGTCTCCCTTCATGGCCTGGAGGGGAGGGGGTTCCTGGTACTCTGCTCCCCAGCAGTGGTGGGTCAGTTTAGCAGGTCTTGACCAACATATTTTGTCTTTTTTTTTTTTCCAAAAGATGACCGGTAAGGGGATCTTAACCCTTGACTTGGTGTTGTCAGCACCACACTCACCCAATGAGCAAACCGGCCATCCCTATATGGGATCCGAACCCATGGCCTTGGTGTTAACAGCACCGCAATCACCCGAGTGAGCCACAGGCCGGCCCCTGACCAACGTATTTTAAAAAATGAAATAAAATAGGGAATAGCAGGGTGTATGCCTGCAAATATACTGAGATATGATGTAAAGTTACTCCTGACTGAGTTACAGTCAAAAGTGTCTGAAAAGCATTACTATGGTTCATGCCTATTTAAGGGACATGGAATAATCTAAGCCCAGGTACAGGAGGGCCAGGCCTAACCAGCACTTTACCACTACCCGGTGAGGCCCAGGGATGATCATTCTCCCCTCTTACAGTCAGGGAAACTGAGGTCCCAGGGGTATGGCGTAGTAAGGGACAGTACCGGGATTTCAGCCTTGCCTGCAGAAGGAGGCCCGGGACATGTGGCTGGAGGGATTGAAGGATTTGAGAGCCGGGGGTGGGCGTGGGTCGGGGGTGAGCTGGAGAGGCGGCCGCGGGTCGCCTGCATCCCTCCTCTTCCGCCCAGGCCAAGCTGGCGGTGCTGCTGTTGACGCTGGTGGCGGCGGCGGCCTCGTACCTGCGGATGGAGCAGCAGCTGCGGCGGGGCGTGGTCCCGCGCCAGCCCCGCATCCCGCGGCCCCAGCACAAGGTGCGCGGTTACCGCTACCTGGAGGAGGACAACTCGGACGAGAGCGACGCGGAGGGAGAACGCGGGGCCGCCCGGGGAGACGGCGCGGAGCCCGAGGCGCAGCCTGCGGGGCCCCGGCCGGGTCCCGAGCCAGCCGGCCCCTGTCGCCGGCCCTGCCCCCCCGAGCAGGCG